TGATTTTAGCACCAGATAGTAGCCAAATCAGCAAAGCTTTCTATTCTTGCACCTGGCAGCCACTGCCACGGAAGTCCATACCCAGGATTGTGACATACATCCAGCACCAAGCACAGCTCTCCGCCCCTGCACTATCCTGCTGGACAGCCTATGAGGTGACAGCCAGAAGCATCAAGTCTCTGGCTCTCTATTTAACTTTCAGACAAGCAAACATTTCACTCCACAGTCTCACAACCAAACGGAACCTAATGTATACAATAGTCCCACAATCTGTCCAACAACATGAAAGCGGGGAGGACAGGGATGGAGGACCGTGGAGGGGAGCAAACGTCACATTACCCCGTGAAGAGGGTCCGCTAGTGGCTTCTTAAAGGATCAGATGCTATCTGTACTACACCACCCGTGGGAGGGGCAGCCTTCCATGTTTGGATATCCTGAATCCCCTCTTCTCACTGAGAAACACCACTGATGCTGATTTCATAGGCAAACGCTCAAAAGATGTTCTGATGTCGCTGCTAGGTGAGTCTGACCAGGTGCGGTGGCCCAGCCTGACATTCCAATGACAGTGTAATGTCGTCTGCCTTCCTGTTCCCAGCAGGAGTGTCCCCGGCAGTGCAGATGACAATACGGGCTTCACTAACCTGTATCCAGAATGCCCATTGAAATCCCGAAGACAGACATCATGACAACCAGTAAGACTGCTGTCCTGCAGAACGGAGTAAGGTAAAGACCAACTGTGGTAGCAGAAAGGGACACCCCTGAAAAGAAACATTAGAAGGTTGGCTAAAACAGCTCTGTTTTGGGTAACAAAGTATTTACATATTCATCAGCAATAAGTATTTTTGTTTCCACGGGAGTTTTAATGTCTCAATCAAATGGTCTTTAGTCATGCCAATTTATTGAAAAAGGCATGCGCATGCTAACAGCTCTGCCCTCTCTTCCAGGGGCAGGGTCATGCTAACAGCTCTGCCCTCTCTTCCAGGGGCAGGGTCATGCTAACAGCTCTGCCCTCTCTTCCAGGGGCAGGGTCATGCTAACAGCTCTGCCCTCTCTTCCAGGGGCAGGGTCATGCTAACAGCTCTGCCCTCTCTTCCAGGGGCAGGGTCATGCTAACAGCTCTGCCCTCTCTTCCAGGGGCAGGGTCATGCTAACAGCTCTGCCCTCTCTTCCAGGGGCAGGGTCCCAGAGGATCAGTCTGTGCTCATCCCTGTCATAGGCAGGAGGACTGAAATACCGCCTACATCACTTCCCTTCTGTCCCCTGATCCTTCATCTTCAACCCCAACTCCACAGAGCCTGGCCAGGTTCCAGGAGTTATTCTGACCCCCGTGGCCCCAGAAGCCCTGCCCTACCCCCAGATAAGCAGAGCTTCAAGGTCAAGCCAGTGTGTGAGCCTGGAGCAGAGCCGACATGAAATGCCAGCATTGCTCAGGCTTATCAACACTCGCTCCCAAGGGTCAATCAAGTTTACAGTGGGATAGGTACAGACTCCCTCCTGCTGCCAAAGCGGAAAGAGGAACTCAGCTCCAGCTGCCAGGCGGAGGCCAGCACAGTGCCCGTCACAGGTATCAACAATCTTCTATAGTTAGATCTTCGCTGTAAATTTGTTGACAGAAACAAGGAAGTAAAAAGGCAGTGCTTGCTTACCCAAAAGTAAAAAGTGATTAATGCACCCAAAAAGAACTCCTCCGATCATAGAGCCACCTAAGTATCCAGAGGCCCGGCCCACAAAGATGAAAGACAGGCTGCTGATGTTCTGGTTCACATTTCTTGCCAAATCTGGAAAGGTGGGTCCCAGTATAGCAACACTCAGTCCCTACAGTCAAAAAGAAGAGAGCTTTACTTATCTCGGAAACACTGCCCAAGAAGCAGCTTTTGGATGGTAACAAAACCACAGGCAGAGGGTTACAATCTACCATAAGGGCCTTCGGAGGACAGTAAGTCAAACCTAAGGAAACACATACATTATAGCAATAGAGCTACACACTCCCAACGGCCTTTTATTCGAAACCCTTGATATTTTTTAAAGTTTTTGCTTTGTTTTGGAGATCCTAACATCATAGTCTTCCTGTCTCAGTCTCTAAATGTTGGTACTACCAGTGTGTTCCAACACACATAACTTTAAAAAAACTACTTTTCTTTTGTTTCAACTGTTCAGTATTGAACAATACCCTAAATGACCATTATGTATTAACAGTTAGTATGTAACAAACTAGGGGCTAAGGAGTTGGCTCAGTCAGTGACGTGCCTGCTGCACCAACAAGAGGACCTGGGTTTGGAACTCCATCATCACATAAAAAGAACAGTTCCTTAGGTGGGGTTCTTTGCTACAATGAAACACCATGACTGGCAAGCAAGTTGGGAGGAAAGGGCATAAGATTTACACCCCCATACTATAGTCCATCATTGAAAGAATCCAGGACAGGGCAGGACCCTGGAGGCAGGAGCTGATGCAGTGGCCATGGAGGGGCCACTCAGCTTACCTTCTTATAGAACTCAGAACCACCAGCCAAGGATGGGCACCCACAATGGGCTGGGCCCTCCCCCATCCATCACTGATTAAGAAAATGCCTTACAGCCAAATCTTATGGAGGCGTTTTCTCAATTGAAGTTTCTTCCTTTCAGAGAACTCTAATTGTGTCAACTTGATATAAAACTAGCCAGCACGGGCTGGACAGATGGCTCAGAGGTTAAGAGCACTGACTGTTCTTCCAGAGGTTCTGAGTTCAATTCCCAGCAACCACGTGATGGGTCACAACCATCTGTAATGAGATCTGGTGCCCTCTTCTGGCCTGCAGGGACACATGCAAGCAAAATGCTGTATATATAATTAATAAATAAATCTTAAAAAAAAAACACAGAAATTTATATATCCAGCACACACAGGCACAGCACCATGCCTAGAATCCCAGCAACCCCTGTGGCTCACAAGCTAGTCTGGCTGAGCTGGTAAGCTTCGGGCTCAATGAGAGACCCTGTCAAACAATAAGGAGGACAGCAGTTAAGGACGCCACCTCTGGCCTCTCCACACAAACCCAATGAACCAAAATATAATGAACTATTTTTAAAATATATTCTTATATTTTCAAATATACTATATGCTTAAGTATAGAAATTTAATTGCTAGAATTTTAAAGTATGAAACACCAAATTATTACTCTTTTATATTAAGATGCCAATATTTCTGATACACATGGAGTCCTTCCTTTAAATTGCGTATGCATATATCTATACCTAATATGGCCAATAAGCAATTTGAATGTTCCTGTGTCTACAGTTTTCCTCAAATTCCAAAGCCATGGGGAAATATATGGACTATAAAACTTTCGTAGCAAAAATACACATAACATGGACAGAATGATCTTTTTACAATAAGATGTTATATAATGCACTAGCAAGAACTAAGGGTTATGCTCCACTTCAGGTGAAATTCCCAAAATGTCTCTAAGATGTGTGAATTTTAAGAACCACGGACTGTGGGCAGAGGATACAGCTGAGGAAAAGCCTGGCATACTTGAAGCCCTTGGGTCAATCCCCAGTCTGCATATAAATAAATTTTAAAAAATGGTTGTGTTGCGCTGTTCTGCTATAAACCAAGCAGCAGCAAGCCAGGGCTAAGGACCAGGTACCTACAGGCCTGTGGCCCGTGCAGGCTCTCATCAAACTTCTTCAAAGCACTCACAAGACCAGGCACACAGTGAGGGTCTCTATCACCTGCAGCACCTTCTTCCTGCTCTGCATCCCATCGAAGTCTTAAGACAACGGAGGCTCAGACTGAGATGCCAAGTGATGGGAAGCGACTCTCGCCAAAGGCGCCCTCAGAACACTCAAGTCAGAAATGATCAGGTTTAGGCCGGTGGTCCGTCCACAGCTTCAAGTCTATCACTCAGGAGGCAGAGGCGAGTGGATCTCTATGAATTTGAGGCCATCCTGGTCTACACAGTGAGTTCCACTGTAGCCAAGGCTACATAGTGAGACCCTCTGTCTGTGAGTTAGAGGCCAATTGGGTCTACATAGCGAGTTCCAAGCCAAGTAGCTGGAGCTACAGAAAGAGACACTGGTCTTAAAAGGTGTTTCTGTTCTTGTACGTGAATGAAGAAAATCATTTAAGGATATTAAGGCTTGATTTAAACAGGGCTGAGAACAGGATAAGAAACAGGTTCTTAATGCTATCATTTAACCAAAAAAGCCACTTTCTTCTCTGGGTTTATTTTCCCATCCGCAAAATAAAGCGGCTGGCAGGATTTGGTCAGGGCTCCAGGAAGAGGCAATTTCTCAAAGCTTTTCTGTGGTCGATTTGGAGCTTCAGTGGATGGGAGCAAAAGAGAACTGGTAAAGGTCTGGGCTCCCCTCCCATATCTCCCCTTTGCCCCAGGAAAGTTGGTTTGCTCATGTTGGAAAACATATTTTTAATTTGAGTCTGACAATAACCCTCCACGATTAGAGTTCTGCCCACTTTTTCCAAATGACAAAACTGAGACCCATGGGATTAACCAAGGCACCCAAAGGTCACGCAAGGCACCGAGCACTGAGGAGACCACGTTCCCTGCAGGACGCTTGTTCCAGCATTGGCCAGAGAGGGTTTCAAACTCAGCTCTCACCAGCCCCAGGAAGGCGGCACACAGCACCACGGTGGTGAACCAGCGCAGCACGTTCTCGGCACGGCTTTTCCGCCCGGGGACCACAGCTTCGGACTCATTCTCTGGCCCCGGATCGGCCCGGAGGAGCCGCTGCCCTCCGGCCTCACGGAACTCCAGCTCCAACTCCAGCGTGGCGGCTCCACGACGCTCTCTACCTGCCGAGCTCCGTGCACCCCAGCCTCGGGCGTGCAGGGCTGTGCCCGGCTCCGCCCACGAGCCCCAGAGTCTCCCGGGGTGACAACCCCGGGACCAGCCCGAGGGAGCGTGACGCCAGAACACAGCCTTCCTATCCGGCAGGTGCGGCTCCAGGGCACCGCCCTCCGGATCGCAGGGCGCCTGCGCGGATCACGTTGCGGAAATGAAGCGTCTAGTCAACCAGGAGCTGTCTTCAAACCGGAAGTTAAGCTGTTTGCCTTGGTGATCGGATTTCCTGGACCAGGTGAGGTGTGGTAGTAAACTGAGCGTGGGAGTTTTGCGCCTGGGGCATGCTAGGCAGAAGAAGTAGGATTTGCAGCCTAGCACAAGACGAACCAAAGGGTAAGAAGTCACAAAACTTAGGAAGAAAACCCGCCTAGAACTGCAAGATGGTAACTTCCTCAGACTTCGGGATCACCTGGAAACCCGAAGGGTTTATTGCACTCTGGTCTTTCCAAAACCTTTGCCTTTGCTCCTTGAACGTACGAGAGTGTTCAAAGGCAGCTTCTTACTCCACAGCTATTGACCCTCACATGTAAACCCACACATTAAGTATCTGTTAATTTACAAAACACTCAGAATCCCACGTGATCCCGACTAGGAATAGGAATATTAAGAGTAACAATTCTCCAAAGGCCAGACAACAAACCACTGGTCTTTCCTGAAGAGTCAAACAATATCTCAGGAAAGAAATCCGGGTCAAAACGAGCTGCAAGCACTTGCCTGCCCTCGTTCTTGCAGACAGTTCCATTGTTAGGAGTGGAGCTGGGTGTGAGTTTGTTTGCCAAGTGGCTATGCCAGCTGAAAAAGAAAGATCATGTACACGACTACAGATTTGGTTCTTGTTTAAACACAGGGACCACGGCCTCAAATGCTACGATACTATTCTGTATCTGACTTTCTTGTCTACTTGTATGTCTGTCTCCAATACCCACTCCACTTAGACTCTCAAGCTACTACAAAACCTCATTATCTGTGAACCAACGTTCCACCTTAATTTACAAGGTCATTAACTTCTCTATTTGTTTCAGAACTATCTCTTAAATTGGTTTCCAACTCCTCCTCTCCATTCCAACTATCTTTACGATTGTTTTTATTTCTCATGTAGAATATTTCAAAAGTTTTCTGATTGGGCTCCAAAAGTGTGTGTCTTGAAATTTTCAGTGGGACACTGAAATTTAGAACACAAAAATGATTAAATAAAGGCATTTTAAGATGTGAATTATTCTGCATGCTACAATACCAACATATTCTTTGCTTCTGCCGTGTTTGTGTTAGAGTGTCCTAGGTTTTAATGGTGGCTAATTGGGCAAATCGGTAACGTTTCAGTGATTCTGAGACCTGTTAACTATTTCAAATGGGCTGGCCAGAGGAAGTCAGAAATCCTCTTTGTCTCCACAGCATGCCATTAATGCTGCACCACTCCAAATGGACAGCGGCTGTCTATAGGAATGTTAGCTGTTTTGTGTTCCGCCAAATGGCATGCTCTGGTTAAAACTCTGGTTCAGCCCTCTGAGCAGATGGAATGCTAGGCGAATGAGCACATTCACTTATGTTAAGACAGGTAGTTTAACTACATATCCTTCCTGAAAATGCCCTGTCCATCTCCTAAATAAGAACTGTCAGTAAATACAATACTGTCGTTTCTCCTATGTGAGGAAACAAAAATAGCTATTAGGAGCAAAAGGACACTAAAGAAAAGGTACTGTAAAACCTACCACCGAAAAGGGCTCTCTAGTTAGAGAAACTCTAGGTAAACAAAGTGTGGGATTAGGTACCACTGGATTGCAAGGATGACTGTCCAACTTATGGCCTAGAGATTTTGCACAAATATCTATTGTCTTCCATTTTGCTTCTTTGTAGGTAATATTGGGGTGGTGTGAGGGCTGGTCATTGTATTATGAATCCATTTTCTTGATAGTCTTCTATGATGGTTTGATTTCCTCCAGGGCTTCTTGCCTCAAATTGTATTTATGTTTTTATTCTAGGCAAGGCTTGCTTTTGTCTATTGTTATCTCAACCGGGGCAACTGATTTTAGTCATCCTACGTCTGTTTTTCGCTCTTTTGTTTTTGTGTTTTTTCAAGACCTGCTTTCTCTGTATAGCCCTGGCTGTCCTGGAACTCACTCTGTAGACCAGGCTGACCTCAAACTCACAGAGATCCGCCTGCCTCTGCCTCCCGAGTGCTGGGATTAAAGGACACCATCACCTAGCAACATCTGTTTTTGTTGTTTTTGAGGGCTTTTTTTGCACAAATTCTCCTTGTGAAAGAAGGCTGTCGGTTTTCTTTCCTTGTTTGACCCCTTCACAAGTTGCATGGAGAAAATTTGGGGACTGGAGCTTCTCAGTGTCTCTAAGTTAATGATACTATTCCCTTTTGGGACATGGATATGTGAACATTTTGTTTCCAAAGAGTCATGTCCTAACAAACGGACAGGGGCACAATTTACCAGGAGGAAGTAGTGTTGCCCAGTTTCTCCCAATATCAATTTTATACATATGGTGGTTTGAATGAAAATGACTCCGATAGGCTCACAGGGAGTGGCGCTATTTGAAAGGATTCGTGTATGTGGCCTTGTTGAAGGAAGTGTGTCACTGGGGGTCAGCTAGGGGGTTTTGGTTGCTCAAGCCAGGCCCAGTGCTCTCTCCCTGCTGCCTGCTGACCTGAATGTAGAACTCTCAACTTCTCCTGTTCCATGTCTTTCTGTGTGCCTCCGTGTTCACCATCATAAGGGTAATGGACTGAACCTCTGAAACTGTAAGCCAGCCCCAAGTAAATGCTTTCTTTTATTAAGAGTTGCAATGGTCATGGTGTCCCTTCCCAGCAATAAAACACTAAGACAGTAGGATTTGACTTACAGGCAGTATGGGTAAATTGAAATCCCCCACCATTTGAATTTTATTTTTATTCTGGGCGAGATTTTAAACATGGTAGGGTGTAAAACAGAGTAGCTCAAGTTTCTGCCGGGGTCTTTGTTTCCTGTTGGTTAATAATTATCTCTATTTCTCCTAACATATTAGCAGTGGAAAACTTCCTTATTCCCCAGAGCAGCCCTGTTATTGTCTGCCTTTTTTTTCTTTCAAAGTTTCTTTCAGAGGCTGCTGCCCCTGTAAGAGAACACCTATTTTACTTGTAGTTTCTTTTGTCTTCTTTCAAGATGGAATGAATTAGCTTTCTTTCCCTGTGAGCTTAACTGTTCTTGTAAGCTAATAATCTGAATCGTGCTGCCTTTTCCTTTTTTATAATAGTTCTAGAAATTGCTAAAGTACCAAGGTCTGATGTGGGAGGTGATGTATGCTGTGAATATGTTTTGTTGCCATTGGTTAATAAAGAAGCTGCTTTCCGCCAGTGGATTAACAGAGTAAAGCCAGGCTGAATAGATAATGAGAGAGTAGGCAGAGTCAGGAGAACCATGTAGCCACCCGCAGTCGACAGACACCTACTCTGGAGCCCACTGGCACCTTGCCGGTAAGCCACAACCAAGTGGCAATACACAGATTAGTAGAAATGGGTTAGTTTACCATAGAAGAGCTAGCCAGAAATACACTTAAGCTATTAGCCAAACAGTATTGCAATTACTACAGATTTCTGTGTGATTATTTCAGGAGTCTGGGTGGCCGGGAAACAAACAAGCAGCCTCCGACAACAAAGGTCTTCTGTGGGAAGGGAGACCCATGTTGTATTACTGTGTTTGACTAAATGGTCAAATTTTCTAGCCCTTCGATAATGCAGAATTGAATAACCATCACTTCCATCACCTCCGAGTTCTAAGAGTTCCTGGGTGGTTTGCAAATGTGACACCGAGGTTAGCCACAGTTCTTCTGGCCTTACTGTACAGAGCTGTATTTTGGCCCCATCACTAATCTGTGGAAATAATGTTGGTTACAGCAGAGGCAGTTTTCTAGTTGATGGGAGGCATTTTTAGCATTATCAGTCCTGTTTTTATCAAAGTCTGTAAGGGGATCTCTCCATTCTCCAAGCAAAACCAAGAGAGGGAAAGATGCCCTTGGACTGCAGAAAGCAAGTAGGACTGCCCAAGTTTTCCCTCTTTTCCCCTCCCTCCTCCTCTTCCCCCTCTTTCTCTTTCCCCCTCTATCTTTCCTGACAACCAAGGGACAATCCCTCTACTTCCTAGTGAGAATGTCTTCCACTGAAGCATCCTGCCATGCTGTTCTGCTTACCACAAGCTCAGAACAGCCAGGCCAAGCAACTCTGGACCAAAAGTTCTGAGCTCTGACCAAAATAAACCTTTCTTCCTATAAATCTATTACCTCACGTATTTGGCAAATCTGGAAAGTTTGAGCGAACTTTGATGTGCCAAAATAAGACATGAAAGAAACTGGAAGATGATGTGGAAAAGGTAGGCTAGGTCTACACTGTGGAGAGCTTCGTGTTCCATACCAAAAGGCTTGGATTTGGCCAGGACACGTCTACTAGCTAAACAAGATTAACAAAATAGAAAATGTTTTCTAGGTGTGTCAGCTTGATAAGTCATCTTTTTGTTCTGTCTCAGTTTCTGAGTCAGAGTCAAAGGCAACCAGAATTCCTAACTCTCCTGCTCCTACCTCCCGCAAACTAGGATTACAGACATGCACACAATACAATCAGTTTTATTTGTACAATTATTTCTAAAATAAGGTTTCCTATCTGTTGAAAGTTTAATTACAAGTTTGCTTTAAAGATACAATTGACTTAATGTAAGCATTTAGTATTAGGCAGCATCTCATTCTGTAAAATAGGATTGTCCCTCAGCTGATCTGAACCGAGAGGTACTTGACTTTGTATGCAGAAGAACTGACAAATCAGAAACAGAAAGAAAAGCAGATGAATCCATAAAAAGTTACTTTTCTTGTCTGGTATGGTGGTATATACCTGTAATCACAGCCCTTGGAAGGTAGAGGCAAGATCAGTAGTAGAAGGCCAACCTTAGCTACAGTAGTAAGCTCAAGGCCAGCCTGAGCAACAAGGGACCCTGTCTGAAAAGAAAACTGTGGTGTGGGATGTCCTTCTGTATATGCGTTCCTTTTATTAGTTAATGAATAAAACTGCTTTGACCTATGGCAGGGCAGAATATAACCAGTCTGGAAGAGATATATAGAGGGAGTGGGCAGTGTTGAGGAGATGCCATGTAACTGCCAAAGATGAAAGACTCCAGCCAGAACCTTAAGCCACAGCCTTGTGGCAATACACAGATAATAAAATGAGTTAATTTAAGATGTAAGAGTTAGTTAATAAGAAGCCCGAACCATTGGCCAAACAGTGTTGCAATTAATATGGTTTCTGTGTGATTATTTGTGTCCAGGCAGCCGGGAAACAAATGAACAGTCTCCATTTACAGATGACGCCCAGTGCTCAGCAATGTACATCCACATGAAGCCTAAGAAAGTTTAAAAACTTCCTAGATCCACAAAACATGGGAGCCAAGCACTTGTCGGTAGCCACATTTTTTTCAGATAGGCTCTGTTTGCTGGTCACAAGCAGAGGTGACTCCTTTAAGAAAAGGCTTCCTGACTCAGCATAAGCAGCAAAAAACAGCATAGCTTCTTTAAAGTAAGGCTTCCTGATCCTTGCTGGTAGCAGGAATGGCTCTGGCTCTTTTGGGAGGTCCTGCGCTTAAATGGGGTCTGTGAGCAGCATGCTCCGTCCTGAGCAGCATGCTCCGTGTTGTTTAATGGCGACATAGACCTGCTGCGTCCCTGGAGCTGGGGCAGTAAGCGTGACTTGCAGAGGCAGTGAACATACCACTGCCATATTGGACTGGAAGCCAACAGGAAGGGGTGCAGAGTTGGTCCTAGCATCACTAAACTTAGCATTTAGAAAACAAATGCACTCCTGGTCAGAAAATGATTACAGACGCACAATAAAGACAGATTCAGACAGAAATAAACCTCTGAAGGGTCATCGTGTGTTTAAAGCATATATGTAGACTTGGGAGAAAGAAGAAAAGAGTATAGACAGTTAAAAATTAAAACAGAGTCTTTAAAGAGACATAAAAAGTAGTATAAAATAATATAGACAGTCATAGAAGAAAGGAGTAAAGAAAAATAAGCCTTGTAAAGATGAAAAATACACAAAGAGTCTGGATTGTATATATTATTCTGTTATCTTTGGATTTTTTGACTGAATGAGCTAACTAGAGAGAGACATTTCATTGTACAGGCTGCTAAGCTAAACCAACTTAAAGGTATCATGACTTCAAAATTTGAGGCTAAGGATATGTTACTTTGGAAAAGAGGTTCTGCTTTTGTTTCCACAGAGGATGAGAACCTTTGGATTCCTTCTAGGCTAATGTGGTTTGGGAGATCAAGACCCCCTGAAAGTTTTCTGTGAACCCTAAAAATACTTTGCCTAACAAACAGCAGGAAGCAGTTTGGAGAAAACAATGCCCAAATTCCCAGAATGATTGTCTATAAATGTTTGTTTTCATGTAAAGGGGGATATGATATAGAAATGAATACTTTGCATTGGTATGGATCTTAATCTATTGATACAAAGTTATGGTTGATTTTGTTACACTGTGTGTATGTATATTTTACTCTTGTTTAAGGTATTGTGTTTGTGCAATTCATTTTTTTTATTTGATTTTTCAAGACAGGGTTTCTCTGTGCTTGGAGCCTATCTTGAAACTAACTCTTGTAGATTGTGCAGCTCATTTAAAAATGTAATGTATAATTAAAAATAAAGATTAATAGATAGTCATTTATATTAGTTAAGCTTATAGTCATATTATTTAGGCTTTCTAGATACACAAAGATATATTTCAGTTAGATAGATAATCTTTAACACTTCAAAGACCTATGGAATATGGCATTTAAAATGTTTTAAGAGCTCAAACTTTTAGTTCGAGGCCAGCCTGGTCTACAAGAGCTAGTTCCGGGACAGGCACCAAAGCTATGGAGAAACCCTGTCTCAAAAAACCAAAAAAAAAAAAAGACAAAAAAAAAAAGAACTCAAACTTTTCTAAACATATCTGCTTCTGGCAGCACCAATTACTTCAAGAGTTTGATGGGCATTGAAGAAACTCGTTATAGAATTTGCCTTCAATGTGACAAGACTAGACATTTGGGCAAGAAACTGCTCTTGCCTGGACTGCTTGAAGGTATGCTATATAAACTGGACATGCAGGACCCACAGAAAAATGACTGGTGAACTTGCCTAAAGCAGGTGAGACAGTCCTTCAGGGTTCCTGCTTCATGAAAGAATCTGCCAGACATTCTGCAAGACACAGAAGAAAGCAACTGATGAACTTTCCCATTACAAGGCAGAACATATCTTCAAATTTTCTGCTTCATGGAAAAGTCTGCCAGGTATTATGGGCCTGTAGCATGAAGATGGATGCCCCAACATTATAGAAGAACTTTGGGTGACTGTCCAGACAGTCAGATGTCTCTGTCAATTCTAGAGTTCTGGAAGTTGCTTATAATGCACTTCTTGTTTACTTAGATAATATTATATCCTTCTGGGGTCTTTGAAGAGTTGAAGACATATAGTTTTCCTTAGTTATGATAAAGAATAAATTAGATATAAAACTTTAGACTCACAAAGATAGGATAGATGACAGAGTATTTTCCTTAATTTGACAAATGCAAATGAACTAAATATTGTAACTATAATTTCTGCTTGATAACTGTTTTGTTCTATGTAATTATACTATGTTAAAGTTAAAATCTTTCCGTTTTTTAGACAGAAAGAGGGGAGATGATGTGGGATGTCCTTCTGTATATGTGTTGCTTTTATTGGGTAATGAATAAAGCTGCTTTGACTTATGGCAGGGCAGAATATAACCAGTCAGGAAGAGCTATATTGAAACAGTAGGAGGAGTCGAGGAGATGCCATGTAGCTGCCAAAGAAGGACTCCAGCCAGAACCTTAGGTAAGCCACAGACTCGTGGTGATACACAAATTAATAGAAATGGGTTACTTTAAGATGTAAGAGTTAGTTGATAAGAAGCCTGAACCATTGGTGAAACAATGTTGCAACTAATATAGTTTATGTTGATTATTTGGATCTGGGCAGCAGGGAAATGAATAAGCAGTCTCTGTTTACAGCTTTGTATCCTAGGCTGGACTCAAACTTAACTTTGTAGCATAGCATGGACTAGAATTCATGACAATCCTCCTGGCCTTCCAAATTCTAAGATTATGAGCATGAACCGCCACATTTGGCCAGAAACTACTTTTCTTAGAGAGCTAAGAGAGATTTCTTTGTCTAGGGATAGTTCACTGGAAGAGTGCTTCTCTAGTATGCACATGGACCTGGAGTCTAGCCCCAAGGCAGAGAAAGGGAAAGAGACCCATTTATCACACCTACTTGTCTGATCTGCCTAGCTACTATGTTCTGATTGGTTGCTGCCATCAGACTCTAAACCAGTGGTTCTCAACCTTCCTAAGTCTGTGACTCTTTGATACATTTCTTCATGTTGTGGTGACCCCCAACCATAAATTTGTTTTCATTGCTACTTCATAACTATAATTTTACTACTCTTATGAATCATAATATAAATCTCTGATATTTCTGGTGTTCTTAAACAACCCCTGTGAAAGGATCATTTGATCTCCAAAGAGGTTGTAACCAACAGAGTGAGAACCACTGTTCTAATCTCTTGATGACAGAAACCATGCCTGATTTGCTCCCCAGCATATCCCAGCATGCACACCATGACTGGCAAATGCATTTACTCCAATTTTGGATACACAAATGACCAGATAAAGGGTTAAAGGTGTTCCCAAGGACTAGAACTGGAACTGTCACTGAACTGTAGCAGCTCTGTAGATGTGTGGAGAATTGAGGCCACATTACAGTGGACTAGCAAGGAGGGAGCTAAACACATTAGAAGTCATATACATTATACATTATATATGGCAACTGTGAGAAGACATTAAAAGTAGCTTAATGAAAAGATTGTGGGCTTTGGAGTCACATGAATTGAAATGTCAGGGCTGGAAAGATGGCTCAGTGGGTAAAATGGTTTACTACATAATCTTATGCCATGATATTGACCCCTCCAGAACCCACAGTGAGAACCCAGGAAGACCGACTGCCTCTCACAAGTTGCCCTCTGACTTCTACACACACTGTAGGGCACTTACACATGCACATCAAACAAACTCACAATAATCTAAAGGACTGGTGAGATGTCTCAGTGGGTAAGGATGCTTATTCCCAAGCCTAAATACCAGAGTTTAATCCCTGTAACCTACATGGTGGAAGGAGAGAGCTGACTCTTGCTATTTTTCCTGTGACCAACACACTTACAGTGTGGCATGCAGAAGGCGGACAAGCTGCAGAGAGTCTGGAATTGCTTGTGTTTTGACAAAACTTCCAGCAACAGAATCCACCTTCCTCTCTACTTGACCAAGCAGCAGCGATGGTGACAGCAAACAGGACACCTCTTCATCCCTGCTCGTCCTTCAGAGAGGATGCACAGTGAAGTCACCCACAAAGAGCACAGCTTCCCCAGCCCTGCATTAGCTCTGCCCAGCAGAGGTTCCTGTTTCTGCATTCCCAAAGGCCTCTGTTCTCACCTTTACCTGAGATTACACTACAGAGGAACTTAAAGGCTCAGGTTCTACTGCAAAGAAGTGGGCATTTCTGTGTAAAGGGCCAGGCATTGGTCATTATGGAACACTGCGAGGTAATTGCTACATAGGTCGGGGTTAAAATCCATGGAACCAAAGGCTTATCACTCGTGCTGGGGGACAAGAGGACACCACAATCACATTTTTTCCTGGGTCCTTTCTCCTCCTGAGGCTTATGGGTTCTAAAGGGCAGAAGCAGCAGATGGCCCTTTGCCCCTTCAGTATCACTAAGCACTTCTCATATCACAGTCCAGAGAAAAGCATTTTGTACTCCAAGATAATAATGGCAGTATCAATCTACTGGTAGTATGTTTAAAATGATAAAACCTAATCATTTCTCATAGAGCTGGACCTTGCCAAGGGTGGTTCTGGGTGTTTTCTGTAGCTGAGTTTGCTGTTGTGAGGATGCACAATCTTCAGGACCATGATGGCTATGGGTGTCACTCACCCTGCTTCAAAAGCAGTTCTGCACACTTGGAAACATTCAGTTTTGTTTTGGTTTTCCATCAAATATTTTTATTTTTCAGGTAAGCCTTCTTAGACTCTTGTGGCAGGTAAACTGTCCTTTCTGGAATGCTCTATCCCTGAGTCACTTCAACAAAGGGTCATGGCTGAAAAGATGTCTCAGTGGGTGATGTGTTTTCTGGGCAAGCCTGGCTACCTGACTTCAATCCCTGGAACCCATGTAAAAGTGGATGGAAAGAACTAACTCTACAAAGTTCACACACGCGCACATACACCCACACCCACATACACACAAATAATTTTAAAGCAAGGCTAAAAGGCCCACTGGTCCTCTGGACTCAGAAGACAACATGCTCCTCCCAGAAGTTGCATTTTCTGTAAGTGATAAGGGACAGGACTGAAAACTGAAGCCCTCGCGTTCCCTTGGTGTTAGAGGCTGTAATCTAAGCTCCAACTCAACTGTCACAGTGTTCCCTCAGCTCTACCAGACAAACCTGACACTGGTGTCAGCATCCCTTCCCAGGGCTTTCTTTGTTGGGTTTAGGTACACTAATTCACACGCATTGTGCTAAAAAGTGGAAAAACTGTAAATGAAGATTGACCCCAGAGACATAAATGCTGGAAATTCTCAGCTCAAACAGCAAACAATAATAAAGAGTGCAGCTACCTTGTTTTTCTGGAGCTCCATCTGGCTGCACTAGCTGCTTGACTGTATAAATGTGGTCTTAGCTCTGCTCGGGTTGAGGATTGCCCGCCTTACCCCCAGCAGTGCCCACTGGGCACAGCACATGTTTGGTCTGTGTCTGTTAAGTGACTGAACTGTGTGAACTTGGAAGCTTTTTGGTCCACAGGTGAGGGCTGTAATTGTATCTATTATAAAGGGGCACCCATTTATAGCTCTTTCAAGTGTAAATGTTACTCTATTGTGTTAGCTGTTATTATTTTGTGTAAAAGTACAGCTTTTTGTATAAAAGTATCATTTTGTATAAAAGTACAGGAGAGATCACTCAGCATCTATGTAGAATGGTTCACAACTGCCTATCACTCCCATTCAGGGGGACTCAGTGCCCTCTCCTGACCTCCGAGGGTACCTACACACACACACACACACACACACACACACACACACGGACTACAGGTACACGCTAAGTAAATAAATGTTAAAAATAGATTCTAGTAACTTTGACTAATAGACTTTTTCAAGAAGAATTTTACAATTAGCTGAGTTTTTTTTTTCCATTTGAAAAGAAGAACCTTGTTCATTCAGGTACCCACTGACAATAGTTGCTGAGCCCAGTCTACCCTGGAATAGACTGAACGTGAAATTTCCCACTGCACAGTAAGTGCTTCTGCTGTCAGAGTAGTGTGTGTGGGAGTGTGAGAAAGCCAGCTCTCTAGAAGGAGCGGTGGAGCAGACCTAAAGCCAACCCTCTCACTTCCTTCATAGCGTGGCCAGAAACCCCAGAGGGTAGTCTCAGTGGAACAGTGGCGTTAAGCTGGGGAATGGTGGTGCACAACAGGCAGACCTCTGTGAGATCGAGGCCAACCTGGTCTACAGAGCTAGTTCCAGGACAGCCAAGACTACCCAGAGAAGCTTCGTCTTGAAAGACCAAAATAAACAAATAGACGAATCTCTGTTCAACATCTAGACAGAAGCACACAGAGGATGGGAGCCTAGAGAGGGGAAGCGGGAACAATTGTAAAGGGCAGAGATGCTGTGAGAGGTACAGACTAGCCAGTCCTCGATTCTCGAGCACACACCTCTCCTTCCAAGGCAGCCCAAGCAGGAACCATGAGGCAGCACAAGACTGGAATCAAACCCTTTAGTAGTCAGTACTTCTATCACCGCGCCAAACACACATGAGAGATTGCTTAACACGTAAGGAGTTGATTAGGGCTCCCAGTTGCAGAGGTTTCACTTGGTGCTCAACTCTCTCTGTGTTCGGGCCTATGGTAAGAAGGATCACCATGGCGAAAGGCCTGGTGAGATAGAGGCACTTGCCTCATGGAGGTCAAGAGACAGACCCAGGGATAGACAGGTGTGAGAGACATCCTTTACAGGTTCACCTCCACTGCCCCTTTAACAAGTAGACCGCACCTCCTAACATTCCCATCGTGTCTCAAATCCTAACACCACCATGCTACATCGTACTCCAAGGATAAGAGTGGAAGGTCCTAAGTCTGCAGTACTCAGCACACGGAAAGATCTCAGAACAACTGCCTAAAATACACAACATGAACTAGAAAGAAAGCTTTAGTTTTACACACTTTCTGAGTTCATCTTCTCACTGCATGGATGATACAGATGGTTGCAGATCAAACACCTGTCTAGAGTCTGAAACAATACTTTTTTGAATGAAACTTAATGTTTATACAGTATATTCCAGTCATAGCTTCTCCCTCATGTCCTCCCAGATCCTCCCTACCCCCTCCAATTGTATACCTTCTTTCTCACTCTCCCTCTCTTTAGAAAAGCAAGCAAAAAAGAATAAAACAAAACAGAAAAAGTATAAGAAATACATTATATGCATACACACACAACCCTTAAAAACACAAAATCTGAAACCATAACATAAAAGCATAATAACCAGTAAAGAAAAAAAAAAACCTAAAACCTTAGGAGACAAAAAGAAAATCTCTAAAAATATCACTGAATTAATTTTGTGTTGGCCATCTATTGCTGGACATGGGATGGTTGGTATACCAAGTGAGACTCCATTGGGAAAAGTAATTTTTCCTTTACAAGTGGTTGACACTTGGAGATAGCCTCTGAGTGTTGCGGGAGGTCCTTCCGCTCCTCCAGCCTATAGCCGCTGAGATACCAGCCCATTGGGGCGTGGTCTCTCTCCCTTTAAAAAAGCGGCTACTTCCCTTCTCGCTCTCTTCGCTTCCTGCTCCGTTTCCGGCGACTAGACTCCTTCCTTTATCTGTAAGTTTTTTCCCCTTTAAATAAATACCACCCTATTAATCATAATTCCAAACTGGTGTGGCATTGTTTGTGACTTACGCCTTCATCAGAGTTAGGGGTGGGAGCATGCGTCCACTTCTCTTAGTTGGACCCCAATTGTCTTGACCTGTGCAGTCCCTGTGCATGCTCCCATGTTGAGTTCATATGTGCATCATCTGATTGTATCTAGAAGGTATGGTTTCCTTGGTATCTTCCATCCCATGCTGTATTAGTAAGGGTTCTCTAGAGACTCAGAACTTACAGAATGAATCTCTTGCTCCGTCTCTCTCTCTCTCTCTCTCTCTCTCTCTCTCTCTCTCTCTCTCTCTCTGTGTGTGTGTGTGTGTGTGTGTGTGTGTCTGTCTGTCTGTCTCTCTCTCAATCTCTGTCTGTCTGTATCTGTGTGTGTGTGTGTGTGTGTGTGTGTGTGTGTATTGGAGTGACTTACAGGCTGCAGTCCAGCAGTGTCTAGCTGTGAATGGAAAGCCCAGGAATGTAGCAGTTGTTCAGTCCCACGAGGCTGAGTGTCTCAGCTGGTCTTCTGTATGTGCTGGAGTCCAGAAGAAGTGGACTCCAATGCCAGTGAGGAACGGATATGCTGACAAGGTGAGGGCAAGCAGGTGAAGAACGAACACACTCCCTTCCTTCTTCCATTGTCCTTATACAGGCCTCCAGCAGAAGGTGTGGCCCAGATTAAGAGTGTCTTCCCATCTCAAAATCTATATTAAAGGTGCGTATCCCTCTGTGTCAAGATCCAGATAAAAGCCTGGGTCTTCCTGCCGCAAGATCTAGCTCAAATGACAATTGACCAAAATGTATTTAGGAAAAGGGTTACAAAGCCTCTTCCTAACCAAGTGTGACTTTATACACTTAATACCCTTTGATATCATTTAGCTCCAGTGTCTGCACCACGAGCTCTTAAGTCTAGGCTTTTCACAAAGGCTATGGGAATTATGCAATTTAATAAGGTATTTACATATATTCCTGCCTCTAGATACTGTTAATTTCCCAAGGAACAAGAAATAAATGCATTTTGGCAACACCTCTATGAATAATAGAATGATGTAGATTCACTAGCTCTCCAATACAGCAGCCTGTAGTCAAGGCAGCTGTTTCTGTTTAAATTAGAAATGGATTTGTCATTATACAAGTCATAGTAAATAAATAAATAAAAATTTTGAAAATTAAAACATTATTGAAACATAAGTATGAATTGGGGACGATGTTAAATACATCCTCCCATTGATATAGAACCCCCAAATTGTCTTGTGGGACAGATGACTATATCATATCTTGAGAGCAAAACTCATACTGAAAGTAGCTTGTTGTATTACAGGCCAGCACAGATAAGGAAACTTATCTGCACCATTGCAGAAACTTCTACTGGCAGGGCTGCATTAAGGATGAACTCCATTAGGACAGGGGCTCTGTGTGTATCAGAGTAGCTCTGCCCCAGATACACATCAGCAGAAAATGCAAAATTAGCGGCACTTAGGAGAAAGACACAGCTCCAAGGCAGGGCACTTGTCTGGTATGCGTGAGGCCCTGGGCTTAATCTCAAGTACTGGAAAAAACAAGTTGGTGCTCTACAAACATGAAGGAAATGACCAACAGTCAGTGACACACGCGGAGAAGCCTAAACACCAGGTTTACAGCTGGAGATGTTTATACAGGGCATCTTGTACACGGTGTGTGCTGTGTGCATGTGCCTATGGGAGAAAGGGAGCAAATGCGTTCAGAGACTCCCCAAAGGTGCACCATTGTTACCCAAAGTGGGGTCTGTGAGCCAGCAACTCCATCATCTGGAGGTCTGTTGTAGCCCGACACAACAGCCACTCTTGTTTCGTTTGTGGATTCCATTGTGGATTTTGAAGTGTATACCGCATTCTTACCACATGGTTATCTCCCCGTGTTCCATCTTCCGCCCTCCGAAAGCAGAGGCTACAGGTAGATCCCTGTTAAACAAGCCTCACAGAAGTTACTAAGGCCTAAGAGCTTCAGAAATGCAATAAAATGAGACAAGGGTCATCTGTAAAACCTGCCTAAGGAAAACACGGAACAGAAAGAAGTAGCAATCAGTATGTTTATCCACCAGGTCAGTGCAAGGTTGTTAAGTCCCTAAGATGAACTCATAGCGGCATGAGGGTGTGGACGGTGGCGTTCCACTAGAGCCGTAACTGGTGTTGCAGATACTTTCATGTTGGCTTAGCTTAACAGCCCCACAACTAAATGTCTCTCTGTAGTCAGCTCGTTAGCAGTCAAAAAATTCAAAGAGCAGTCCAGGTTCCCTGCCCTGTGGCAAGTCCTAGGTCCTCCCCCCTCCGTCCATATCTAGGAAGGTGAACATTCAAACTGGCTAGGCTTCCACAAAGCCAGCACATTAAGTAGGATCAAAACCCCGTGCCATTGTCCTTGGCGTCTCATCAGCCCTCATTGTTCGCCATGTTCAGAGAGTCTGGCTTTATCCCATGCTTTTTCAGTCACAGTCCAGCTGGCCTTGGTGAGCTCCCAGTAGATCAGCTCCACTGTCTCAGTGGGTGGGTGCACGCCTCGTGGTCCCGACTTCTTTGCTCATGTTCTCCCTCCTTCTGCTCCTCATTGGGACCTTGGGAGCTCAGTCCAGTGCTCCAGAGAGGGAGGGGGAGAGGAGTGGGGGGAGGGGTAGAAGGGTGGGAGGAGGGGGAGAAGGGTGGGAGGAGGGGGAGGGAGATGGGAGGCTGGGAGGAGGTGGAAACTTGTTTTTTGTTTATGTTTTTTTTCTTCTTTTCTTAATAAAAAAATTATTAAAAAAAAAAAAAAAAAAAAAAAAGAAATAAAGGAAGAACATAAAAACCTGATGAAATAAGTAAGCCCTGTTTGACCTTGATGAGAATAATAATTTAAAGGAAGAAGGAAGAAAAATAATAACCTCAACTACTAAGAAAACATAGGGAGAATTGAAAACTTTTTTTTTTTTTGATGGACTGCCTTTTGGATAGTGTTATTTACATTAGATTTCATGGGCATGATCAAGGCCCTGGGGTTTGTTAGGAAGAAGTTCTTGCTCATGGGTGCATTGATTTAATATTCACATAAGAATATTATGTGTGCAATATTCATGTGACTTGTCAAAACTGCAAATGGAAAACAGAGGCAAAAAATGAAAAATGTTAATGATTGGAGATTCTAGCTGAAGTGTATGTGGTACTTTTTTAAAGTTGACATATTGCAAAATAAAAATTAAGGGAGAGAAAAAAAAAAAAAAAAAAAAAAAAAAAAAAAATTCAAAGAAAACACAGTAGTCTACATAATCCAGGTCCTCTGTGTATTTCCCATCTTTTGTGGCTTTTTCTCTTATTTTACCTTTACTGTCTCTTGAAAGACTTTGTTTTATTTTTAAAACTTATTTTTCGTAACTCTCTATACTCTTTTCCTTTCTCCCAAGCCATGTACATTTTTTAGCACACTGTGACCCGTTTAGAACCTGTCTTTATTAATCTGTAACAGTTTTTGATCACTGTTTTAAACTGTCCAGTGGGCGTGGCTAGGACCAGAGTGCCTACTTTGGCTGTTGGTTCTGCCATGCTTTACTTTTCAATACGATGGAGGTAGCAATGGGTTTCATGATTACCCCACCCCTGCTCCCCTCCTGTACCCCCTCCCCCATCAGGTAGCATGCAGCTGCCCACAAGCCCACAAACTTTTTTGTTTTGTCCGTATGAGTAAGGTTAGCCATTCTATACCGAGACCTGTGTGACACTGTGGAAACCCACCATGCAGCTTAGCTCATGGCAGCTGGTAGCCAGCTCCATCTTACAGGCAGGTGTTGGGAGATACACCTCTGGCCTGCTGCTGTTGGCAGGAAATCATGAGACTAGGAAGCCCAGCACAGTTCTATTTTTGTGCATTTATAACCTTTTTAAAATTTTTCTAGGTGTTTTGGAAATTCAAGAGCTTCATGTTGGTACGCCATTTGTAACTGGAAGTTTCTCTTGCCTGCCAGTTCTCCAATAACCACTCAGAGGCTTAATATTAATTACAAACTGTTTGGCCTATTAGCTCAGGCTTATTATTAACTAGCTCTTACAACTTTAACTCATTTTTATTACTCAATATTTTACCACTAGGCTTGTGACTTGTTACCTCATATCTTGCTTCCCTGGCAGCTGCTGCTGTCTCCCAGACTCAGACTTCTTTTTTCCTGTATCTTTGCTTGGATTTCCTGCCTGGCTGTATTCTGCCTGGCTATTGGCCAAATCAGCTTCTTTATTAACCAATGGTAATAAAATATTTTCACAGCATACAGAGGGGCACCCCACATGAACAAACTAAAGCACGTTTATCGAAAGCACATTTATAGAAATTAGGAAAGAGAAAACATACTGTAATATGGTAGAAATCCAACATCAGTCAGCTAAAATGTAGAAAGAAATATAATCTCACATCAATTTCAGGCTTGTCTAAGGATGACACAGGCCGGCTTTGCCATGTTCAGAAAATAGCCTTTCTTATCCCCACCCTTGGTTACAAAACACCCTCTTCTCAGTATATCGGACTCCCAGGTATTTCAAGTTCAAGGAGAAGCCCAGGAGGCTGCACAAGGAGTCCAACCCCTAGGAAAGACTGCCTCATCATAAGTTTTAAAAAACTAGCCTGTTTTTAATAGTGTTTATAATGTAACTGATGTCCAAACCCTGAGAATGGAACAGACCCTGCCTACAGCTGTGCGCTGAAGTAGCACCTCTGTAACAGCTTCTAGTATTGGACCATGCTCTCTCTAAGTACAAGTGAATATAACTGGAAACAGCATATGCAGATAGAACATTCTGTCTGGGGTGGAGGTACCTGTCTGTCCTCTTACTCAGGATACTGAGGAAGTAGAATCACTTTGAGCCCCATTATTTGGAGCCAGCCTGGATGTTACAGTGAGACCACCCATAACTTTAAAAAATTATCTGTAAAATAGTATGATTGTAATAATTAGAATAATCACATTTCAATGACTAAGATACTAATTATACTGAAGTACATTATTTCCATATTTGTATGGAGAACATACAATTTGTTTAAAGAGTTGAATGATTATTTCATATCTATTTCAAGATGTTAAAGTATTAGGAAAAGATTTATTTTAGGATGGATCAAATACAGCACTATTGTGACCTGGAGGTGCAGGGTGTAATTCAGAAGGCTGAGGTAGAAGGTTTACCAGTTCCAGGCCAGTCTATGATATACAACAAAACATTATTTCAAAACCAGACAAAACAAAACAGGACAATAACAATAATGAAATTCAGCAATGAAAGTGTTTTTCATATAATTATTCAAATAAAGTACTAAGGTGTTAGCATATATCCATATAAGCACATTCTTAAAGCTTCTTTATTGTCATCTTAAGAGAAGGAAGGGCTGTTCGGCAGATGTCTTGCACAAACTCCAAACCCTGTGGGTTTCTCAGTTTGGAAATCCTCTCGCTTGCGTTTCCAGGGTGAAGGACAAGGAGATGACATGAAAGAAGTCCCTGGTCAGTGTTCATCGTGAATCTAGAAAGCAGGACTCCACCTGAGGGAAAGTACCAAACCAGGGCTGGAGAGATGGCTCAGAGGATAAGAGTACTGGCTGCACTTCCAGAGGTCCCAAGTTCAATTCCCAGCAACCACATGGTGGTTCACAACCTTCTTGCCAGCAGTATATTGTATGCTTAATAAATAAATCTTAAAAAAAAAAAAAGATGGAAAGAAAGGACCAAACCAAACAAGTCCTTAGCATTCTTTAACCCAACACTAGGGATATGGCAAAGAATTACATAATGTATCCCCATTTCCAAATAGGTTTCCATGAAATTGTTATAGAAATAATATGCCTACCTAGTGAGAAATCATGCCACACACTTAGAGTTAATAAAGGAAAACCTCTTTACAAAAATCCAAAAAGCCATGAAGCTGACTGTGGCTAATGCCCAAAGAAGAGCTGGCCTTGAGTTGAAGATTTCCTAGCTCCTACTCACACCTTAGGCCGATTCTTTCCACAAATCTTGTCACCCTTAATTCTCTTAGGTCCTGGTCCAGGTTATACTTGGAACAATTTAAGCAGTCATAGGACACCGTGTGTCTGGACACTTGGGCAGGTGGGAGATTTACACACAAAGATATTGTCAGAAGAGTTTGTTGAGCACACCAGTGTTGTGACATAGTTGCTCCTAGATTCATCTTGCCAGGGCATAGTGATGGTTGTCACCCTGCTCTGCCCCCTTCAGCTGCCCTTTAGAGGTATGTTCTTTGATATGGTGATGGGCCCAATGACTGCTTATAAGACCCTTTCGTTATGGGGATGGAATCTAACTGGAGGTCAGTCTTGGTGAATAATCATCTAGCAGAAATTTTCTCAGCAATCCTAAACTTAGATTATGGCACAAAGTTTTCTCTCTTCAGTTTCTAGCGAACTTGGTCAGTACACTACTTCTCTTCCAGTGAGCGTGGAGGTACCACCCTTTAACTAACTGCTAATTCATTTCCTAAGCAGAGTACATCCTTTATAGGATCAATTTTACTACTTCCAGTTTCTCTTGTGTCAAAACTACCCTCTCCCACTCATCCAAGAGAAAATGGACGCTTGATCATTTGCGCAGCAAAGGCCAATCCATTCCACATCTCCGTGGTACCTTCCTACTGGAGCACTACCAATTTCTTAACTATAGATGCCTTTTAGCACACACCACACCAAAAAAAAAAACATATTTCCTAATAAGTCTCTCAAACAGGAGCCTCGTTACAAGATCCCACTATATGAGATCACTTGGTACATTATGGAAAACTCTGGAAATTCCAGAATTTTTAAAAACAGTTCAGCAGCTACTGTACAATAGCTCTAGAAGCTGACCCCAGGAAATTGCTGAGAACTTACGTGGCTCCCCTGGCCGTAAGTGTAGGAACTATGAAGTTACTAAACAAGTTATCTTTTCCAAATGTTTGTCCATTTTCTACTGGTGTATCCCAGGGGATAACAGCCATTACCTGAGAGGCCTCACACATGGAGGTGTTTGGGAAGCATCAGCTGTGGCCTCTATCAACTAGAAATATGTCTAGACTCCTCGGTTACAGATGCCTCGAATCCTTCATCTCAACTACCTCAGAATGTGTTCCATTCCATTTTCCTGCGTCTTCCCACTTCTTTTCTGCCTCACAGTCATTGAGCCTAGAGCTGGAAAGAGAAGTTCTTCAGTCCTCACTCTTTCTTTCTTTTGCCTGGTGGCGCAGGGGTAAGGTGGCTAATTTATACATCACGGGAAAAAGAACTCCCGTGAAGATGGCTGACGCAAAGCAGACGTACAGAACCACCGGCAGTCCTGGGTAGTGTCTCTCAATGATTCCGATGACTGCAGGAAAAGCCATTTCCCCCAGAGAAGCACCAACTACAAAGAATGCTGCAGACTTCCCAGTTAAGGTGGTGTACTGCTCGATCCAGGAAACGCCACTGGGAAACGTGGTTGCCATCGAGGCTCCATACACAGCAGTCGCGATCCAGAGGCAGAGAGGGCTCTTGTCAAAAAGCACCAGAACCAAAGATGAAGCAAGGCTGCCAATGTTGCTCAGCACAATCATGGTTCCAGGCTGTAAGAATGTGGCAAAGAAGATGGCCAGGCCCCTGCAGGCTGAGAAGGACCCCCAGAAGACGGAGTTCAAGCCGGCTGCTTCAGTTTCTTTCATGCCAACATGGGTGGTGGCAAAGGAGAATATGTAAGAACCAAATGTTATCTCGGCTCCAACATAAAAGAAGAAGAAGATGAAGAGGAGGCAGAGCAGGGCCCAATGATATTTAGCTCTTCGAACTCTCTGACTAGATTCTGTGGATTTTTTCTGCCTTGAGCGGTTCTTACAAAACAGACCAAACAGAAAGACAGAAACTACTAGCGCATAGGTGCCGATGGAAGCATACGTCCACAGCAGATTCATGTCCTCGGGTACCGCAAACAGAGCGTCTGGGCTGGCTTCAGAGGATCCGTTCAGCATTAGAGGGTCAAAGTCGGACTCTGTGTGGTTCTGAGTGGATGCTGTTGTACCCCAGGCCAACTTAGCCAGCAGGGGAGCCAGGAAGGCACCCAAGGCGAAGCTGAAGTGCAAGGCCTGCATGTGTGGGGCTCCTTTGTCTCCCCAAAGAGCCAAGATGAGGACGTTCCCACCTACAAGTTAAAGGAACAATTTGTCAGTCGCTTCATGGAGGAAGGGGTGTCTGTATTGGGCTATGGGAGCTTGTGATGTTTACACCAGAGCCAATTAAGGTGCTTCAACCCCCTATCACCAGAGGACTGGGTTCCAGCTCATCTTCATACGTTAAGTTTATAAGTTAGTAAACCGTCACGTGAGCTAGGTACATTTGAAACAGTTTATCATAAAACAATGGTAATCTCACTGGGAGATTACTAACTGTGGTGGTTTGAATCAGAATAGCCCCCATAAGCTCACATATTTGAAAGCTTAGTTCCCACCTGGGGACCTGTTTAGGAAGGGCTAGGTGTTGAAGTTTATCACTGGGGGTGGGTTTTGAGGTTTCAAAACCCCAAGTCTAGTCAATATATCCTGCTCCCTCCCCCTTTCCATCTCCCTCCGCCTCCACTCCTTCTCTCCAAATGAGGATCTAAAGTCCTCGTCTACTATTCCCCCCGTGCCATGCCTGCCTGGAAGCCACCATGCCCCTTGCCATGATGATCATGGACTCACCCTCTGAAATTGTAAACTAACTCCCAATTAAATGCTTTCTTCTATAAGTTGCCTTGGTCATAGCATCTCTTCAGAGCAATAGAAACAACAACACACTGCTAAATTTATTTGTGTTTTTGAGACAGTTCTCATATATGTCCTATTGACTTTGAACTTGTTATGTAGCTAAAGATGATCTTGAATTTTTGGTACTCCCACCGGTGCCACTCAACTGCTAGGATTACAAGAATGTGCCATTCAGTTTATGCAGTGCGTGGGATTAAACACAGTATTTCATGCATGCTAGGCAGATACTCTGGCCAACTGAGCTATATCCCCAGGTCCGTATGTAAATATATATATTTATGTATATATATGTATATATATATATATATATATATATACTAGGCAAAATTTAATCTAATGGTGGAGAAACTGCCAAAGATTCAGTACTTCCAATTAGGTGTCAATTCCAATTGAAGAATATTGTTTGCTTAAGTCTAAACCAGATGCATGACACCCAACTGGGAGCCAGATTGCCCCAGAATTGTGGCATACTTGTTATAGGAAACAAAAACAATTTTCAGAATTGTACACTACATAGTTTCAACACCCACACAGTAAAAAGCCAGAAGCATCTAGTGTTTGGTTATCTTTAAACAAATCAGGTATTTTGAGACAATCATATGGTTCCACACTGTAATTTTTGCATTCAAATGGAGCTTGAAGTGTAAATGATCTATCAAATATTGTTTCTTCCCTTAGAACAAGAAAGTTGGGAATTGAAAGCTAGGATTAGGGATAAGCAATGATCTGCATGTAATTTAGGAGGTCTTCAGTGATAGAGTGAAACATGGAGATTTTCTGCTGCAGAGAAAGAAAAAACAACCAAAAACAAAGGCAAGAATATGGTACCCTCACGGATTTCTCTAAGTCTAGAATCCGGTCGCATCTGAAGTTGAATGACTCCTTCTGTGCTTCTGCAGCCATATAGTAAGTAATTCTACCCCTGTGTGGTGGTTTAACCGAGAATGTCCTCCATAGTCTCTGGCATTTGAATACTTGATCCCTATTTGGTGGTATACTAAAAATAATGTTTAGGTAGGGTTAGGAGGTGGCCTTGCTGGAGGAAGTGTGCCGCTGGGGCAGGCTTTGAGAATTTAAAGGCCTCCAACCATTTCTAACTGCTCCCTCTGCTTTATGCTTCTGGTTCAAGATGAGTGGTCCCAGCTTCCCCCATCATGGGAGCTCTGGAACCCTAAGCCCAAATAGTCTTTCTCCTACAAGTTGCTTTCATTATAGTGTTTTATCACAGCAATTACAAAATAATTAATATACTTTGTCCTATCAAATCATCGTTTTCTTTTATACTAGAGCAACCAAACTCTGTCCCAGAATGAGAGCTAGCCCATTTGCATTATAATTTCCCGCAGAAAGGGAGTCCTTCCATGTTGGGGACAACCCAACAATCTCTCATAAAGCAAAATTCTCAAAGTTCACGTCATAGTTAGTGGATAACAATTGGTTGGTTGTGATTAACGTTAGTGTTTACCACCATGCCCAGTCCTGATTGGCAGGAAGAAGGGGTGCTGGAAATGTAATCTGATTGTGCGAGTCCATGCCATCTTAAGACCAAGACAAACGATGCCACAATTTCATATGGTCTATTCTTACTCATTGTACTATCCCCAAATCAGGAGATGACTCCAAAGGGTTCACTAACCTGTATCCACAGCACCAACCGAAGTACCAAAGACAGACATCATGACAACCAGTAAGACTGCCTTCTTGCAGAAAGGAATGAAATAAAACCCAACTGTAGTAGCTAACATTGACACACCTGAAAACAGAAGACAATAAAGCCAGCTATAAAACAAGTATTCATTAGGGTCCTAGGTCAAAGGAACATCATAACAAATTCTATAAATGAAAAATAACACCGAATTAAAACTGGTTGGTCTTGGGCTGGGCATGGTAGTACACACTAATGTTAATCCCAATGTCTGGGAGACTGAGACAGGTAAATCTCTGTGTTTGAGGCCAGCACGTTCTGCAAAGACAGTTTCAGGCCAGTTAAGGTAACATGGTGAGATCTTGTCTCAAAGACAATCAAGCCAAGAAGGCAAAGCCACCACTACCACCACAGTAAAATTTCAATCATGAGTAGATGAGAGATACAGTTGCAATACATGGTGGTTTTATCTAAATCTTTTATAATATTTGTGGACTACAAAAGTATTAATTACTATGACTTGAATACAATTCTATTATTGCTAATGGTCAAATTAGAAATTATAAAAAAATAATTTTTTTAGTGTCTGTGTTAACCCCAAAAGTATTACTTCAAAGAGAATTCTTATATGAGGTAACAACGCAAGAATAAAAATCATAGCCGGGCGGTGGTGGCGCACGCCTTTAATCCCAGCACTCGGGAGGCAGAGGCAGTCGGATCTCTGTGAGTTCGAGGCCAGCCTGTCTAGAAAGAGCTAGTGCCAGGACAGGAACCAAAAGCTACGGAGCAACTCTGTCTCGAAAAAATCAAAAAAAAAAAAAAAGAATAAAAATCATAATAGATGACAGGGAAATTTTACCAAATAAGTTCATTTGGAGGATAAAAGGAAATAAAGTACAGGAAAAACAATCTTTTAGCCAACTTTGGGAATAATGATGATTACTTATTTGTCAGCAATAAATTATTCACCTTGCCTCCAAAGGATTTTTATCACAGTAACCTAAAATTTTTTAATTATGCCAATTTATTGAAAAAGGCATGCTGACAACTCTGCCCTCTCTTCCAGGGTCGGGATCTGAGAGGATCAACCTGCGCTCAACTCTGACAAGGGCAATAGGCCCGAGTGCAGGCTACACCATCCCCTGTTCCTTCATCTTCAACCCCAAGTCCATAGAGCCTGGCCAGGTTCCAGGAGTTATTCTGACCCCACGGCCCCAGAAGCCCTGCCGTACCCTCAGATAAGCAGAGCTTCAAGGTCAGCCAGTGTGTCAGCCTGGAGCAGAGCCGACAGTAAAAGTCAGTATTGCTCAGGGTTACCAACGCTCCTGAGAAAGAGCCAATCAAGTTTTAGAATGTTCAGTATGGATGGATTCTGTACAGAAGGGGAGGATACCCACACCCATTTCTGTTGTCAACCATTCTTCAGTCTACGCTTTTAATGCTTAAAGTCAAGTTTAAAATTCACTGGAGGGGGGGGGGAGGGAGAAGCAAAAAAGCAGCGTTTACTTACCCAAAAGTAAAAAATGATTCATATAGTCAATGAGAGCGCCACCAATCATGGTGCCGCAAACAAATCCAGAGGCACGGCCCACAAAAATGATAGACAGACTGCTGATGTTTTGGTTCACATTTCTTGCCAGATCTGGAAATGTTGGCCCAAGGATAGCAATGCTTATTCCCTAAAATTTAAAATGAGAAGAGCTTTAAACTTACAACCACTAAATTGGTATGCATTTAAATGGTGGCATTTTCCATAATAAAGAATGGGAGGCAGGAATTACAATGTAATATAGAGGTTCCCTTTATTCAAACAAAACAAGATGAGCAACCCTTTACTATTAGAGGCGCACGCTCCTGTGAATCATCCTCTACTCAGTATTTAAATGTTGCCTGGCTTTGGTTGCAGTTCTGTTTAGATTTTGAAGATCACCTTACAAAATTTTTCTGTATTAATAGTTACTAAGATATATCAAATGTATTCTCAAAATATTTTATTTTAAATATACTCCATTTATTACTGATCTAGGAATTTAGTTGTCAAAATTTAAATTCCGAAACATCAGTGTATTGCTCATGTTGGTTATGTTAAAAAAAAATGCAATCCTTCTGACATACATAGGTTTCTCTGACCTACACAAACACAATATGCTGGAAATCAACTCTCTGAATGTTTCTAAATCTATAATCTTCTTTAATGAAATTCCAAAGCCACCAGGAAGGAGTATAGACTTTTAAGGAATTATTACATGCACACATACACAACGGTTTTATCAATAAAATGTTGCCTTACAATGTGTTAGCATTGGTCCTTTTAAGAAAAACGTTTCTAAGTCATCTATCTATATTCTAAGAGTGATTGATGGTAACGGCACCGATCTGCTTCAAACCAGTGTGCCCCCTTTTAATAGCAGGGACCCAGGACGAAGGACGACAAGTGAGGACAGGCCAGCAGCAAGCACCAAGTTCAAGGAAAGAATACTGAGTCCTTATCAAAGTCCTCCAAGGGACTTTGAGACTTCAGCACACAGGGAAGGCTCTCTAGGCACCTGTAGAATTTTCCTTCGCAGTTCCTCCTACATCAAAGAAACCCGAGAAGCAAGCCAGGTGTGCGGATCTGTAATCCCTGGGGCAGAAACACCACCACTGAGTTTAGCCTCAGTCTGGGCTACTTTGTGGCACCGTGTCTAAAAATGCTACAATCTTAAAGACTGTGGCTACTGGCATTCGCAGGCGCTTACTCCTACCACCTAACCATCTGAATGATGAAGAAAAGTCATTTTCCGTCTGCAAAATTGCCAGGTAGCTGAACTTACTCAGCCCACCCCGGAGTTTGCAAGGGTGATTGTGGAGGTGAGCAGGTGAAAGTCTGGGCCTCCCTTGCTGTATCTCTTCCCATCGTACCCATGACCATGAAAGTTTACATTAAGGCAATCCGTTTGAGTTGACAAAAAACCCTCCAAGATTAGAACTGTGATCATTTCCTAGATGGGAAAACGGAAACCCAGAAAGATGAATGCACCCGATCTCCCACTGTACTGGCTAGGGAAGCAGGTCTGCAGCCGGGGAGTGATCGTTCCTAGTAGGGAACCTCCTGGCCCAGCCTGGGAAGGGACAGCCTGGGCTCTCACCAGTCCCACGAAGGCGGCATATAGGACCAGCGTGGTGAACCAGAGCAGCCCGCGCCTCGTCCCGCCGCTGCGCTCAGCCGCCGCCTCCTCCCACTCCTTGAGCGTCGCCGGGGCCCCGGATTCCTGCAAGAGGAGCTGCCCGGGGGCCGGGGCCCAGCGGAACTCCAGGTCCGTCTCTAGCTCCAGCTTGGCGGTTCCAAAAGGCTCTGGATGCCTTCGATCTCGTCCAGGCGAGTAAGATCTGGGCGCAGCCTGCCCCGCGGCTCCCCACGCCACCTCCAGGGTGATCCGTCCCTGCGATGTCCGCACTGCAGCCAGCGCCTCTGCTGGGCTCCCGGGTCGCCAGTGTAAAAGCAGCCTATCTACAGATGACACCGCTAAGCCCCAAGGAGAAGCACTGCCACACCCACAAGGTGAGGCCCGACCCCACCCCCATCACCTATGGAGAGGAAGGAGGGGGGATGGCTTGGCCTTTGTAAACTTGGCCAGAGCCCAGCCCTTGACGCCCGACATTTCTCTGCCTCCTTGTCCATCTTTCCACTCTACAGACATTCGAGGAAGCTCGGGCATCATCTTTCGTTTGTGTTATCCAATCCTCGCAACGCTGCCGCCTAGTCAATCGCCAACAGTGGAACAGCAACTCCAGAAACAAACATAGGCCCAAAGCTGTGGTTTCGGATATGTGTCTCGTCCAATTCAGAACTTATTTCTGACGTAGCGTGATAAATTAGATGGCCGACTAAAGTTTTGCTTACTAAGGCCTTCGCGTCTTCACAGAAGGCAAGGTCGCTTAGTTTGGTCTTTATCCAACACCCCCATCCCATCCTTGCGGGCGTGCCCCAACTCTTGCTCCTCTTTCGGAATACTCTGAGGCTCCTAGAACACAAACCCTGGTCTCATCATCCCTCCGAAACAGCTTCATCCACGTGTGGTCACTAAGCCTTTCCTAATCACCCCAAAGACGTCTCCTGAATCAGCTTCCAACTTCCTGTCTATGACTTTCCTTCTTGTCTGCATTTCAAACGCAGAGTCGCAAAGGCCACAGTAGATCTCCGAAACCACAGCTCTGAGAATTTCGGGATGTGCAGGTGGCTTCTGAAGGAGCACATGACAACTAACAGGATTTTAAAAATCGGAGGCATGCCTGCTGTCTGGTGGCCCTGCTACTTGAGAGAGTCCAGCTTGAAATCGGTTTGCAGTCAGCTTGCCCAACAGTGAGAATCTGGGGCAGCCATATATACCGTCACCACCGTCTACCTGGTCATCTCCAGACAGACTCCAAGATCACACCTTCATACTTCCTCTTCTTTCTCCTCAATATCTCAAGTTCTGTCAATATTACTTCTATAGATATTCCTAAAACCAGACCTCTTCATCGTAAAAAGGCTGAATTGAAGCCAATTTTGTCTAAAGAGCTAATTGGTTCCATTCCCTCCTGTTTGCAGTAAGATCTTAACTTTGTAGCTCTGGCTGATCTAAATGTCTCAACCTTCCGCTTTAGCTCAGCAAGGCTGGGATACTAGGCATAAGCCGCCAGACCTGATTGCAATAGTCTTTGATTAGGGATTCCAGGACCCAACAACATCCAGTCATCGCTATAAGGAAGTAATTGGTGTGCAAACCAGGCGTGGTGGATCACACCTGTAACCAGCCAGGAAGCGGAAGCAGCAGTACCACACACTCAAAGGCCCTGCTGAGGCAACAAAACAAACACGCAAGAAACCCCAAGACATTGTTCAGATGTGTCGAGCAGAAGCAATTGGTTGTATAGCCAGTAAAGGGTTAAAAACTGTAGAAACAGGACAACAAAAATAGTTCTTTAAAAGTTACTCATGCTAGACGGTTAAGAAGCAGTCACTGACGTCAAGCCTGAGCGTATCACCTGGACCCACTCTGAAATCATGACGTCAGACGTTATGTCTGATTTGGCATCCATTGTACCCCTGAATGAATAGAATTCCTTGTTGTGGGATATTTGTACACAAGGTGTGAAAATGTATTGCTGTGATCGGCGTGATAAAAGCCGAACAGCCAATAGTTAGGAAGAGGTTAGGCAGGACTTCCAGAGACAAGAGAGCACTCTGGGAAGAAGAGGGCAGGTGGAGTTGCCAGCTAGCTGGAGAAGAAGCAGGAGGTGCAGGATGAAAGAGAGGTAACAACACGTGACAGACGTAGATTGACATAAATGGGTGAATTTAAGTTATAAGCGCTAGTTAAGACAAGCCTAAGCTGAAGCCAGTTTTCATAATTATTTGGGACTGGCGGCAGAAAAGAAAGTCAGGCTATAGTTCCTAGCATAAGAAAACCACTCAAAAAGCTGGATGTGGTGGCTCACGCCTTTAATCCCAGCATTCAGGAGACAAAGGCAGGCAGATCTCTGTGAGTTTGAGGTCAGCCTGGTCTACAAAGCAAGTTGCGGGACAGCAAGCACTACATAGAGAAACCTTGTCTCAAAAAAACAAAAAGTCAAAGTTTTGGTAGGTAAATTATTGCATTAGCTAAAGAATTAAACACTGTCAGGAAGCCAGAGTTGTCCCTGGAGTAGAGCAGGTGTCTAGTCGGGTGTGAGCTGAAGCTAGATTACACAGGTGAATGATACATGAATTAAACAGATATTAAACAGAATTAAACAGCTTATATAGGGCAAATGTGAAGAAAAACATGTGTAGTTTGGTGAAGAGAGCACAGATTTTGGAATCGTGCAAACCTCAGACTGAATTCTGGCTTCTTTTCCACCAGCCTTAGCACTCAGGAGGAAATAGCGCCTATAACTGTACCTTCCTCTATGAAAACAGCATCCAGCATCTGCCTTACAAGGCTTCAGGGTTCGGGGAGATTATCAGAATCAGTGTTGTCAGTGTGCATAAGAAGTTAGCATCAGCTGGGCGGTGGTGGCGCACGCCTTTAATCCCAGCACTCGGGAGGCAGAGGCAGGCGGATCTCTGTGAGTTCGAGACCAGCCTGGTCTACAAGAGCTAGTTCCAGGACAGGCACCAAAGCTACAGAGAAACCCTGTCTCGAAAAAAAAAAAAAAAGAAGTTAGCACCATAACTAAGCTGGCTCCGCCACCTCTGTGTTCTGTGGTCCCTCTTCATATACAAAACTACACAGTTCCTTGTCAAGGGTGATAACTGTGTGTTGGCTCAGTCACAGAGAGAGAGGAAAGGAAAGCCTGGTGTGATAGCTTATAGATGACATCTGGATTCAAGCTCAATTGTTTTCTTTTTTTTTTTTTAAAGATTTATTTATTTATTATGTATACAACTTTCTGCCTCCATGTACACCCACAAGCCAGAGGAGGGCGCCAGATCTCATTACAGATGGTTTGGAGCCACCATGTGGTTGCTGGGAATTGAACTCAGGACCTCTGGAAGAGCAGACAGTTCTCTTAACCACTGAGCCATCTCTCCAGCCCGCTCAATTGCTTTCTTAAAGAATGACTTTTAGTAAAGAATCAGAAAATAGCCCCCTCTACACGCATATCATCAACCTCAGAGGAAGCGTCACGAAGCCCCAGCGAGGCCTCAGGTGCGCCCTGGGAACCAGTCCGATAGCCCATCTTTCTAGTCCCAGGGAGCATCCCACAGAGAAAGTGTCAGATACAAACAAGCCTTTCCTTGTAGAAAGTACTGGGGCCTCTATTTAACACTCATATACTTATAATACTGAAATGCTGCTTTTTGCTTCTTATTGCCACAGTTTCCTAAGAGGAGACCAAAAGGTCAAAGGTTGCCCAGAGTCCCTAGTATGAAAGTTCTGTCCTGAGCAGAGCACACAGTCGTAAACCAGGGTCACTCGAAACAGGGACCATAGGAGTCAAGGACTCGGGGACTATCACTTATTATAATCATTTAGATAAGACATAACCTCTTTCAACTTGAACGTTCCAACTTTAAGAAGATCTTTCCCAGAGACTCATAAATGTACGAAGTCAGGAGATAAGAATACACATGAATCATGCTGAGTTGCAAACACTGAATAGTTTCTTTTACTCTTCTTGTTTAAGTGCAAAACAGGGCCATGGATCCCGACAGTAGGCTTCCAGGTGCCCATTCAGAAAATCTCCTTTCTCCTCTGAGACAGAGGAGTAGCTATAATCATCTCCGCCAGGAAATCTATCAGCAATATATGTAGTAAGTCATGTAGCAAGTAACAATTTCACCGGAGAACTGGTAAGTTTAGAACCTGTCAGAAAGCTCTTAAGAGAAGCTGGAAAAAAAAAAAAAACCCCAAGGATTGTTCACGTGTCAAATGGAATGCTACTCACATTGTAGGGACTCAGTGTAAGTGTGAACCCCTCAACGTGTAAAACATGAAGACGTTCTTGACTAATTTCTAAAGGAGAGATGTCAAGCCCATTTTTTAAAAATCAAAGACACAACTAATGACCAGCGTCTAAGCTCAGAGCAAGTATTTGTGATGAATTTATAATTATAAATGTGTTTATATCACACGTCACAATATTCCTCTCAAGATGTTCTTCAAAACCTATAATCAATGAATGCAGTCATATGTAAATGTAAGAAATTCACAAGACCACGCCTAATCTTTAAGGGGGTTAGATTTCAAACCCAGGACTAGCCTTATTCAGTACCTGTGACTCCCCCAGTACTTCTCACCATTCCAGTACACTAACCCTCTCCTTCTCAGGGCTGGGGCTTCCCTCCCCCTCCCCCAGCCTGATCCCTCCACAGCAGTCTCTTGCCCAGCTGCCCCTCTTGGCTCTCCCCTCCTCTCATGGTTCGGTTAAGTCAGTGGGCCATCCATGTTCAGCCAGGACTCTCCCCTCTGCCTGCTTTCTCCCTTATATCTACAGTAAAAATATTCTCCATACATTAAGAGTCTTCCTCCTTTTTTTTTTCATTTAAAGAGGAAATAAAACTACAGTTGATTAGGTGGAATAAAATCACAATGTATTAAAATGCCGGAGCAGAAGGCGGGCAAGCTGCAGAGAGTCTGGAATTGCTCGTGTTTGTCAGAACTTCCAGCAACAGAATCCACCTTCCTCTCTACTTGACCAAGCAGCAGCGATGGTGACAGCAAACAGGACACCTCTCCATCCCTGCTCGTCCTTCAGAGAGGATGCACAGTGAAGTCACCCACAAAGAGCACAGCTTCCCCAGCCCTGCATTAGCTCTGCCCAGCAGAGAGAGGTTCCTGTTCCTTTGCATTCCCAAAGGCCTCTGTTCTCACCTTTGCCTGAGATTACACTACAGAGGAACTTAAAGGCATTTCTGTGTAAAGGGCCAGGCATTGGTCATTATGTAACACTGCGAGGTAATTGTTATACAGGTCAGGGTTAAAATCCATGGTACCAAAGGCTTATCACTCGTGCTGGGGGACAAGAGGACACTGCAATC